TTATCCTGGGATTTAGCAGCTTGAAGTAATTAGCACACATTATCTCAGTGTCTGTGGGTCAGGGATCTGGGCATGATGCCGCTGGGTGCCTTTTCTTCCAGGTCTTTCAAGGCTGCAGTCAAGGTATGGGCCAGGGCTGCAGTCTCATCTGAAGGCTCATCTTGAGGAGGATCCCCTTCCAATTTTCTTCACATAGGATTCAGGTCCTCATAGGCTGTTGGACTGAAGACTTAGCTTCCCACTGGCTCTTGGGTGGGGGCCTCTCCACAGGGCAGCTTACAACCTGGCAGCTGGTTTGTTTCAGAGCAAGCAAACAAGAGACAGAGGCCATTCAAGACAGATGCCGTGTTTTGGAAGTGATATTCCATTACTTTTGCCATATTCTGTTAGGTAGAAGTGAGTCCTGATGTCCGGCCCACACTCAAGGAGAGGAGATCCTAGCAGGGCTGGGGATTATCAGGAGCCCTTCCAAAGGCCACTGAAGACAGCAGTCGAGATGGTGGATGGGGTCAGCTGGCTGCCCAGAGGTCATCTGATGAGGACTAGGAGCTGTTAGTGGGCCTGGCGATAGCAGATCTGGGATGGCTGGTGTGTCTAGAGTCAGACACCACATTGAAGTGTGTTGACAGGTAGGATACAGGGAAGTGAGAAAGGTGAATGTGAGTTACTAGTTGGAGGCTGGAGCGCTTTTATGTCACTCAGAGATGTATGGGTCAGAGAGGCATTCCCAGGTGTGGAATGGACTGTGAGAGCTGGGACAGGCACTGGAGTGGGATGTGGCTTTTTCTCAGATGAGAGGTTCTTGGGCATGTTTAAACACTGGTGGAGGGGGGCAGGATAGGAGAGATGGAAAGGTGGGTGGGGTGAGTAGGCAGCCTCTATTATGGCCCTCGCCTTCTGGTATTCACACGCTTGTGTGATCTGCTCCCAACAGCATAGGACAAATGTGGTTGGATGTTACTTTGGAGATTCAGTTACAAAAAGACTGCAGCTTTGCTCACTCTGAGGAAAGGCAGCATCCCTGTCTTGAGGACACTCGGGCAGCCTGGGACAGGCTTGGGGAGTGAGGAGCTGGGATCCCAGCCAACAGTCATGCTGGACTTGCTCCAGGACACATCACCTTGGGGTTTGCTCTTCCCACATCACTAGGCATCCATTGCTGGGGCATCTGCTTCAGGACATCGCTGAGGACAAGTCTCCTCCCCTCTCTGGTTCCACCATCTGTAGCCTGCGGCTTTCATCCTCAAGGGCTCCATGCGACCGCTGCACATCCAGGTACCACATCTGACCCATGTAATGAACCAGCTCAGCGCATGTAATGAGCCAGCTGCCCATGGGCGTGGGTGTGAACTGAGGCAGAGGAGCTGCTGTGGCAGTGGTAGGTGACGTGGATCTACAATGGATTGCTTAGTCTCACAGTGGATTGCTGCTAGGCCTACCCACCTGAATTTACATCTTAGAGGGCCTGACAGAACCCAGTTCACGAGGGGCAGCTCTGAGCTCTGGCCTCATGGTCACTTGATGTTCCCCAGTCATCTCTACCAGGGTCCAGTAGCCTGGCAGCGCTGCTTTGTGAATGGTGTCTGGTTCTCTACTATAGATGGCCTGGTCTTGCTCCAGAACCCTAGGGGGTATACTTTGTGGTTTTCCCACCAGAGCTTGCTGTAAGCTTCACACAGCATGTCTTCCCACCGGGTATGCCTCTAGTATCATGGGAGCTGTGGGTCCCATAGTCTGAGGGACAGCCTTTGATGTCATGTGACCCCGAGATATGTGGGTCAGAGCAGCATTCCCAGGTGTGGAATCTTCTACCTCCAGAACCCAGAGGCCTCTAAGCATTGTGCTTGCTCCTCTGGGATGGAGTGTGAGGGGGATGTTCTGGTGTGCCCCAGACCACCAGACCCCTACAAATCTCACTGATGTGGCAAGCCCCTAATTCTTCATAGGGTTTAATCTTCTGCCCATTGGAGCACATATGTCTCATCAAGTTTTCCATGTACTTGTCACCACCTGTTCATCTATCCTGATTAGCACATTGTCATTGACACCGTGAACCAGTGCAGTGTTCTGCAAGACGTTCAGATGGCCCAGTCCCCTTCAGACTCTGTGATGACAAAGGATGGGAGCGGTACCATTGGCCTGGGACAAGACCATGTGTGTGTACTGTTGGCCCTTCCTGTGAATGCAAATGGTCCCTGATAGGGATGAAAAAGTATGGTGATCAGATGGAAGGCTATACCCTGAGGCTGTGCTGATTTGTCTGTGCTAGCAATGACACCTGCACGGCACCTGTGGTCAGGGCTACCACTTGGCTGAATCTGCAACAGTCCATTGCCATTCTGTTTATTTTTATAAGGTCAGACTGATGAATTAAATAGGTTCATGGTCGGGGAAACCCTCCCACACGTCTTTGGTCTTCAAGGGCGGCACCAATCTCCACCATTTTCTCTGGTGTGTGATGTTGTTTATGTGCTTGCTCTCTTGGCTGGGGTGGGTGGTGGTGATGGTGGGGTCTCACAGGATTTCACTTGACTTTTACTACTATCACTCTTACCCCATAGACCAAGGAACCAGTGCGGGCATTTTGTTTACTACACAGGATGTCTATCCCAGTGATATATTGAGCTTGATCTTGATGGTCATATGACAGTTGCACCCACTTTGCTTCTCACGCCTAAGCACTACCATCTGGCTTCTGTTATTTGGAGATTGCTGTCATCCCCATGGCTATCAGGGAGCCCAGTTCTGTAGCAGCATCTCCTACTGTCAGCCATGGCCACCCCTGAGCCTGATGTAGGGCGATGGAGAACCTGAGAGTCAGATCTGTCCTATTAAGCTACTTTTCATTTAACGTTGCAGATGCCACGCTCTGTCCTGTGTGTAGTGGATACTGCAGTGAATTAGCCACTGCCTCAGTTCTCAAATGGAGAGAGGTGAAATAGATACCTTCGGTTATTTCATAAATACAACAAAATCCCACAGAAACCTAGATATGGGTCCAAAACTCAAGAGAAGAAAATGTAGAATTCTCCAAGTCTCAAAAGGGAGAAAAAGAAAAATAGAGGGTTTAAGATTCTTCCCGGGGCCTGAAAGCTTAAGGAGATGAATAACTCCTCCCTTCTTAGGCCCAAGGCACAAGGCTACTTGTGCCAGCAAGATAGCAGAAGCAGGATAAGAGCCGGCCAGAAGATACCTACCCTGGCTGGAAGACACGTACCCATGAAGATGGAGAAAGAGGCCATCCGGGTACAACGTATCAGTTATGCCAGACTAGGGTACTTCCTGTTTACAGGAGACTATAAAACCTTTGCCCTGTCCTCACTTGGGGCTGATGCCATTTTAGGCCTCAGCCCACCTGCACCCAGGCGCTCATTAAAACAGCATGTTTTTCCACACCGCCTCGTGTTGTCTGTTGGTGCGCTCTCAGGGTTCAAACTGATACAAGAACCTTACAGAGGGTAGTTATCAGGCCTGGTCACACATGTCCCATGACTTCTCCTTCCTGGCACATGGTAGGGTGGCAGTTTCCTGCCCTCTGGAGGCTAGAAGCGGTGGCCAATTGAATGTGAGCGTGAGTGATACCTGTAACTTTCTGGCAGGCCCTTGAGGAGCCACTGGATTCCCCACGGCTCATTGTGTCTGTGGTCATTCGTGATTACGCAGGCCGCCATTGCCCAGCCTCTCTGGCGAATACAGAAACTGAAACTTAGGCTGTGCACATTTGGGTGCAGTCCAGGCTGGGAAAGTCCCAGATGAAGTCCCAGAGGATCACAAGGTGGTTTCTTCCCCAATCTCCCTGTGTTTTTAGGACAGGAGCAAGGAGGAGAATGGGACCCAATCTCATTCCAGCCCAGCGGTGCTGTCACGAGGTGTGAGTCTTAGGGTGCCTGTAATAACTGGGTGCCTACAATCTGTGCCAGGCTCTGAGTCAGCCTCAAGATGCTGCAGGGGACATCCTGCAGCGTGGCTCTCTTGGCTCTGTCCTCATGACGCTGGAATTCTATAATAGAGTGGGGAGACTGGACAGGGAGGCAGTTAATGAAGACAATCAGGAGAGAATTAAGATGCTTGGAAGGAAATGAGACTGGACAGCTGCTCCAGCGAGGGTGCCCACAAAACCCTCTTGAGGACATGATGTGGCAAGGAGCCAGCTCAGCAGGGGAACAGGCGTAGAGACAGGAGCAGGAACAAGCTTGGAATAGCTGAGGAACAGAAACAGAGACCCGCATGGCGTGAGTATGGTGAATGCAGCATCCATGCCAGGGGATAAGACAGGCGCAATCAGGGAGGGCTTTCCAGAGGAAGCGGCTTGAAGAATTGTGGAAGTTAGAGTTGGGGGGAGGCGTCCTGGCTGTGTCGCTTCCTCATTGCGGGCTTTGGGCAAGTTATTTGACCTCTCCAAGCCTCAGGTGGCCCTGTAAAACGTGACTATAATGACCGCCCAGCAGGGTTGTTAAGAGGAGTGCCGGAGGCCTGGCGCCGCCCCGTGGAGCAGCGCGCTGGGAGGCGGCGTCCCTGCGGCGTGGCGCGGCGGGAGCGCGTGGCGCCGGGGAGGGTGAGGGTCCCCGCCCCGCCTTCCCCCCAGCTGAGCTCAGGTCGCCCCTGCGGGGTTCCCGAGGCGCCTCCAGGCGAGGGGGCGGTCCCCGGAAGCTCCGCCCCGACGGTCCGGCTGCGGCCCCGGCCGGGAGGTGGAGCGCGGCTACCGCCAGCTGGTCCACTGACAACTGCCGCCAGCTGTAAGGCGCGCAGGGCGAGAAGTGGCGCGTCCTCAGCTTTCCAGTCTTCGATTCCGCCCGCTTTCCGAGTGAGAAAGGCAGGCCTCTCTCTTCCTTGAAGCAGCGTCGCGCCTCCGCACCCACTCTGTGCTGTCTCTTTAAGAGGTCAGCGGACTGCTCCGCCTCTTGGGAATTTGGTTGGTCTCGCCCACTTTTTTTTTTTTTTTTTTTCAGTGATGGCTTATTCCTATAGGCTGCTGCAGGTTAGAGGGCGGGCCCGAGTTATACAGGGACACTGGGACTTGTGGGACTGTGGCCGTTTTCGCAGTTTGGGCTGGACGAAAAAGACGGGTGGCCGCTGTCGGCAAGGGCTGCAGGGTGTGCGAGCTGACCCCGCCTCGCCTTTCCTGCCTAGCCCTCATTCCGCGGAACCGGCCGCGCCCGGTCCTTGCGCGACGCTCCCCGGCCCCGGCCGCCTGGTCAGGCGCTGGAGGCCGGAGTCCCGCGGCCTGTACTGGGTCCGCGCACACCCAGCGGCGGCGGATGGGCGGCCGGGGCGGCCGGGCCTGAGCGCGGCCAGGGCTTTCAGGTAAGGAGGCGGCCTTCTCCCTGTCTCCTGCCGCAGCTAGAGGGGAAGCCCAGCCGCGGTGCTCCTCCTTGCTCCGCGAGCTGCCCCTTGCCGCTCGGGCACAGCTCGGACGGCCGAGGCGGCGTTTGGGAGGGAAGGCCCTGGGTGTGAGAACCCAGGGGAGAAGCGCTGGGCAGTCAGGAGTCGCTCGGGGCGCGGGGTCACGCGAGGCCCGGGAGGGAGCCGCACACAGCGGCGTTGGGCTTGGCTCTGGCTGGAGGCAGTGCGGGCGGAGATCCGGACCTCGGCGACCCGGTCCGGCGCGGGGTGGCGGCACGGGCTGCAGCCCCACGGTGGCTGTCCGCAGCGGCCGAGGTGCTCCTGAGCCAAGCCTGCGCCGGTTCGGGGCTTTGCTGCCCCGCGAGGGGCAGTGTCAAAGCCTCCGCTCCCCCTGGACTCGGGGAAGGCGGGTGGGGGCTGGCTTTGCGCTCCTCTCTGCAGTGAGGAGGGGCCGCGGGGTCGTCCAGTCCCCAGCGGGGCTTGGCGGTGCTGGAGATTAAGTTGTTTCCGTCATAACAACCTGTTGAGGGCTGCTCGTGTCGTGCCAGGCCGTGTTCTAGGGGACCGATTCCTGAGCACTCCCTGGATAGAGAGTAGTAAACACCCAAACGCGGCTCGGGCGCTGGAGACAGCTGAGAAGGGAGGGCTTCTCAGAGGAGGTGTCAGGAGAGAGCTAGGGGAGAGCCAGTACAAAGGCCCTGAGGAAGGGACCAGCTCAGCACGTGGAAGGCAACCAGGAGGGCCCGGTACAGGTCAGATTGGGCTCAGGCCTCCCCATCCTCCTGGGGTCTCTGGCTTAGGACAGGGACCACACACCTGCCAGCCCCAAGGCTGAAGGACAACACGGGAGAGCAAAGTAACTTGGCCTCTGCCCTATGGCGCTTCCCCACCATGTCCTTGCTCCAGGGTTTGTAAGCTCAACAGTCCTTTGGGGTGGGAAGCATTGAGGGCCCCTCTCCCCAGGGTTTCCCATCTGGTAGCCGTGGTTGGGGTTTGGTCAATACCGTTGCACAGATGAGAGCAAGGGTCCTATTAACTGAAAGTCAGTGCGGGCCAGGCGTGGTGGCTCACGGCTGTAATCCTAGCACTTTGGGAGGCCAAGGTGGGTGGATCATCTGAGGTCAGGAGTTTGAGACCAGCTTGGCCAATATGGCAAAACCCCATCTCTAGTAAAACTACAAAAATAAGCTGGGTGTAGTGGCACCCACCTGTAATCCCAGCTACTCAGGAGGCTGAGGCAGGAGATCACTTGAATCCAGGAGGCAGAGGTTGTGCGGAGATTTTACCACTGCACTGCAGGCTAAGCAAGAAAGTGAAACTGTCTCAAAAAAAAAAAAAAAAAAAACCAAAAAAGTCAGGGCTTCAGGTATTTCATAAGCTTTGATACATAATGGCAATCCTGGTATGGCCAGCAGCCCCATAACCCCAGTGGGGTTGCTGGACCCAAGCAGCAGCAGGAGGGGCACCACCTGGGAGCCTGTGGTAAACAGACTGTCAGCCCTACCCCTGCCCTTGGGAGGAGCATCTGCATGTTAACAACACCAGGGTATTTCCCACATCAGGTCTGAGAAGATAGCTCTAGAACAAGCCTGGTGCTCTTGACCCACAGATGGAGAAACAGGCCTGGAGAGGGGTACCTGGCAAGTTGTTGACTGGGGGCCTGGGCTCTGGAGACAGACAGCCTGGATTGCCGGCCTGGCAAGTGGCTGCCCCTCTGAGCTCCACGTGCACAATGCGGATAACATAAGTACCTCCCTCCCAGGATTGGAAACCAGGGCACAGAGGTTGGGCACAGAGGTTGCTACGTTGTTGGCAGGGGAGTGGGGGCAGGGAGAGCAGCTTATACCTCCTCTGCCTCTCCTCAGACCCCACAGCAATGGGGGCTTCCAAAGGAGTCCATGGACCTGGGAACCAATTCCTTTCTCTCCTTGCCCTTCAGTCCCTTCTCTGGTAATCCCAGCTACTTGGGAGGCTGAGGTGGGAGAATAGCTTGAACCCAGGAGGTGGAGGTTGCAGTGAGCCGAGATCACGCCACTGCACTCCAGCCTGAGCGACAGAGCAAGAGACTCTGTCTCAAAAAAAAAAAAAAAGAAAAGCAGCAACCACCTTTGTACATGTGTTGCTTTTGTAGATGTTTATCTCCCTGGTTTTGTTTGATTCTTATGGCACCCCTTATTAGGCAGGTGTTTTCCCCATGATATTTGGAGGGGGAGTGACTCACCCAGGTCACACAGCAAGCATGTGGCGGAACCAGCAGTGCAGCCCATCTTCTTGACTCCATAACCTGTGTTAGCTGGAGGTTTTTCAGTGGTAAATTAGAGAAATCAGACTCAAACTGGCCTAGGCAGAAACGGGGATTTGTTGGGATTTATAACTGAAAAATCCAAGGGGGTAGGACTAGCTTTAGGTGTGGCTGAATCCAGGGGCTCCAGTGAGCTCATCAACATCTGTCTCCGTCTGTGTCTCAGCTCTGCACTCCTCCATGTCGGCTTTACTCTGAGGCGGGTCCCTGAGTGTGAGGTCAAGGTGGTACAGCCCTGACTTACTGAGGTCAGCAGAGAGTGTTTCCTCAGTTATCAATGAGAATCTCCCCTGAGACTTTTGCTCTAATAATTTATTCTAATAATAATTTACAGCAAAAGTCTCAGGGCAGATTTTCATTGGCCAGGGTGATGGAACATCCTGACTAGCCAGGCTTAGATCACAGGTGCATTCCCTGGGTTGTGAAGGGTTGGAGTCAGGCATCCATAAACTTCCAGAGAGTCTGGGAGCTGAGTTTCCACTTCAGGAAAGCAGTACTCTTACCAACTAGCAGGAGGCTGGATGCTGGGCAGGCAAAACCAGCAGAAGCCTACCCCACCCTCCATATCCTGGACTCTGCCTGACTCCCCCATTCTCCTCCCTGCCCCTGTTCCTCCCCACTGGCTTCTGTGCTGCAAGGGGCCGCTCTGCTTCCTGGTGACTGCAGGGTGCCTGGCCCGCACCCTGGCCCTTTCCATCCTGGGGCTGCGTGACATTCCATCCTGAGTCAGAGCTGGTGTTGGGCTGTTAGGACCAGGCATTTGTTCTGCCTGGCTTGGCTTTATAATAGGTGTGGGGATAGCCGGTCACGGTGGCCCACATCTGTAATCTCAGCACTTTGGGAGGCTGAGGCAGGTGGATCACTTGAGGTCAGGAGTTCTAGACCAGCCTGGCCAACATGGCGAAACCCTGTCTCTACTAAAAATACAAAAATTAGCCAGGTATGGTGGTGCACACTTGTGATCCTAGCTACTTGGGAGGCTGAGATGGAAAGATTGCTTGAACCCAGAAGGCTGGACTTGGGAGGCAGAAGTTGCAGTGAGCCGAGATCGCACCACTGCACTCTAACCTCGGTGACAGAGTGAGACTCTGTCTCAAAAATAAATACATAAATAAATAAGAGGGGTGGGGAGGAGAGGGCTGTAGAATCTCCCTTCTTCATCAGGTCGCTAATATTCTCAACTCAGAGTTACAAGTTATTATCTCCTGCCACCAGAAGTCAGGCAGGAGGCCGCACTGCACACCCGCTTCCAGCTGTAAGCTCCTCCATGCTCAGGTGGTGGCCCAGTCCTCCAGGGGTGCAGGAAGACACAGTTCCGGACACCATGCCCTCTACTGCCCCATGCAGGCGCAGATCTCTCCATGAGGCATCGCATGCCTTTGCCTCAACCAGCTGCTGACCAGGAGCAGAAGGGCCACCCTTCTTGACTTTGACCAGAGCCACTCTGCAGGGCATGCTAGCTGTAGGGGAGGACAGTTACTCATTTGGTGGACTGTCCTATGCATTGCAGACATTTGGCAGCCCTGGACCCTGCACACAAAAAAGTCCACAGTCCTCCATCCCCTAGCAGTTGCCATGTCAAACTAGAGCAGTGCTCCACACCAGCTCCACCCCAGAGACCACTGGCTGAAATTAATGGAGACTCAATTTCTGGTGCTGGGGAGGGGCCTGTTTGAACACTAGGCTTTATGGAGGGATCCTGAACAAAATAGTAGCTTGTTAGTGAGGAAGAAGGGGACAGTGTCTTGTGGGCAGTGTTGGCCTCAGTTGTAAAACATCCAGTGGCTCAGGCCAGAAACTGTACCATCAGCCTTCTTTGGCCTCTTCTCTCATTCCCTGTGTTTGATCTGTCAGTGGGTCTTGTTGGCCGAGCCTCCCAAAGGTCTCCCAAATCCCTCTGTTCCACCTGTGCTGTTGCCACTAGTGCAAGCCTCTGTCCTCTCATGCCTGGACTGTTGCAGGAGCTCCTCATGGCCTCCCTGTCTCTGCTTCTCCTCCACTTCGTCCCTTTTCACTGGCATCCTGTCCCCACGGAAACCAGACCCCTCACTCCTCGTAACACCCTTCTGGTTGCACTTAAGAGTGAAGTTGAGTTGCATGTGGGACCTGGCCCTGCCAACCTTTCTGGTATCAGCTACCCTGGCCTGTTTTTGCCCTTGGGGCAGGACAAACCTGTTCCCACCTCTGGACCTGTGCATCTGGATCTCATGTGATTCTCCCTGGAATGTTCTTTATCTCGATCTTTCCAAGACTGGCTCCTGCTTATTTATTGAGAGCTGGGCTCAAGATGTCTGACCACCCAATCCAAGCAGTACCTTTATGTTCATTGGGATTTGGGCTAGCTGTTGAAACAAAGGCTAAGATAATAGATTATTTTTATCTATGCATAACAGCCTCTGTGCAAGCTGTCCAGTACATGCATGGAGTCCCCATTGTGCTGGGGACCCAGACACTTTCTTTCTCACTGTTCCGTTACCCTCATACAGGGTTTCTGCCTCATGGTCTGAGAAGGCTGTTCTTGTTCCCACCGTCTTATCCATATTCCAGCCACCCAGAAGGGAGAAGGGCATGACCTGAAATTGGCAGACCTCACTCCAGCCTGGGCAACAAGAGAGAAACTCCATCTCAAAAAAAAAAAAAAAAAGGTTGACCAGGTGCAGTGACTCACACCTGTAATCCCAGCACTTTGGGAGGCTGAGGTGGGCGGATCACAAGGTCAGGAGATCAAGACCATCCTGGCCAACATGGTGAAACCCTGTCTGTACTAAAATACAAAAAATTAACTGGGCATGGTGGCACGCGCCTGTAGCCCCAGCTACTCGGGAGGCTGAGGCAGGGGAATGGCTTGAACCTGGGAGGCAGAGGTTGAAGTGAGCCGAGATCACGCCACTGCACCCTAGCCTGGTGACAGAGCAAGACGATGTCTCAAAAAAAAAAAAAAAAAAAAGGCTTGTGTTAATGAAGGCTGGACTGCTTTGCTCCCCTCCCAACAGTAGGGAAGGACCCATCTTCTTTCTTAGGATCTACTATGTGTCTTTAATATTCCCCATCGCTTGAAGATTGCAGCTATGGCCTCGTTTTATTATTTTTAATTAATTCTTTTTTGAGGCGTGGTCCCACTCTGTCACCCAAGCTAGAGTGCAGTGGCACGATCATAGCTCACTGCAGCCTTGAACTCCTGGGCTCAAGCCATCCTCCCATCTCAGCCTTACTATTAGCTGGGACTACAGGTATGCACCACTATACCTGGCTAATTTTTGTATTTGTTTCTTTTTTTTTTTGAGATGGAGTTTCACTCTTGTTGCCCAGGCTGGAGAGCAATGGTATGATGTTGGCTCACTGCAACCTCCGCCTCCTGGGTTCAAGTGATTCTCCTGCCTCAGCCTCCCGAGTAGCTGGGCCCTTTACAGGCATGTGCCACCATGCCTGGCTAATTTTTTTGTATTTTTAGTAGAGACAGGGTTTTCCCATTTTGGTCAGGGTGGTCTCGAACTCCTGACCAGGTGATCCGCCCGCCTTGGCCTCCCAAAGTGCTGGGATTACTGGTGTAAACCACTGTGCCTGGTCCTAATTTTGTATTTTTTTTTTTTTTTTAGTAGAGGCGGGGCTTCTCCATGTTGGTCAGTCTGGCCTCAAACTCCCAACCTCTACACCTACCTCAGCCTCCCAAAGTGCTAGGATTATAGGTGTGAGCCACTGCGCCCAGCCTTTTTTTTTTTTTTTTTTTAAGACAGAGTCTTGCCCTGTCGCCCAGGCTAGAGTGCAGTGGCACGATCTCAGCTCACTGCAAGCTCTGCCTCCCGGGTTCAAGTGATTCAAGTGATTCTCCTGCCTCAGCTCCCAAGTAGCTGGTATTACAGCTGCATGCCACCGTGCCCGGCTAATTTTTGTGTTTTTTAGTAGAGATGGAATTTTGGCATGTTGACCAGGCTTGTCTTGAACTCCTGACCACAAGTGATCCGCCTGCCTTGGCCTCCCAAAGTGCTGGAATTTCTGGTGTGAGCCACTGCGCCTGGCCAATTTTTGTGTTTTTTGTAGAGATGAGGTCTTGCTATGTTGCCCAGGCTGGTATGAAACTCCTGAGCTCAAGCAGTCCTCCCTCCTCAGCCTCCCAAAGTGTTGGGATTGCAGGTGTGAGTCACTGCACCCTGCTGTCCTTATTGTTTAGTTGGGGACCTGATCCCAGAGCCAGTGAGTGGCCCACTGGAGCAACCTGAGCCCCAGCCCATGGCCCACCCCCTTCAGAGTCTTCCCTCCCTTTCATCCAGAGGTGTTCTGGTGTTTAAGGGCTTGGACCAGCAATGGGAATATTCCTAAGTTCCCCCAGCCCTGTCTTGGGCTGCTGTTGTTCAGGGATGGCTTTGGCAACAACAGAAGCAGGTCTCCTGTTGCGTTTCTGCAGACCTTGCTGACAGGCATGCAGCTCACTGGGCAGCTCCTTGCTGAAGGGGAGGCCTGGGCCCTTGATATGTTTCCAGGACACATCTTTTTTTTTTTTTTTTTTTTTTTGAGATAGAGTCTCGCTCTGTCGGCCAGGCTGGAGCGCAGTGGTACCATCTCGGCTCACTGCAGCCTCCGTCACCTGGGTTCAAGCAATTCTACTGCCTCAGCCTACTGAGTAGCTGGGACTGTAGGTGCATGATGCCATGCCCAGCTAATCTTTTTTTTTTTTTTTTTTTTTTGTATTTTAGTAGAGATGGGGTTTCACCATGTTGCCCAGGCTGGTCTCGAACTCCTGAGCTCAGGCAATCTGCCCGCCTCGGCCTCCCAAAGTGCTAGGATTGCAGGCGTGAGCCACTGTGCCCGGCCACATCTTTTTTACTTTTTAAAATTTACTGAAGTGCACCTACGACTTAGGAGTCATCAGTGTGTGGCTCAATGAATTACCACACAGTGAACACGCCTGTGTACCCACCACCTGGATCTGACAACCAGAAGCTGGCATGCCTCCCCCAATTACCACGCTCTTCATCTCCCCAAAGGTGCCCCGTCTACATTTGTCCACGGATCGTATGCCTGTCGGCCCTTGTGCCTGGCTTCACGCTATATCACTTCTGAGAGTCATTCGTGTTGCCTGTAGCAGTGGGTCGTTCTTTTTATGCTGTGCAGTGTCGACCACTTATGCCCATGCTCTGGGGCTGCTTCCCGCCTGGAGCTTTCATCCACAGGCTTTATGAGCATTCCTGGTGAAGCAGAGTCACAGGCATCTGGCCCAATCTGTTCAAATCATTCTAAATATTGGCATATGTTATGTTCTGGTGCCCCAGGCCACACCTGGATCACCCCAAATTCCCTGCGGAAGTACCTGTTGCTATTCCCTGAGAGTCCTCTAGCTCAACAGTCTTGGTTTTCTGACCAGACCCTCAGTCCTCCAACCCCAGAGTGGTTCCCAGGACCCCAGACCACCAGCTCTCCTGTCTTCCAGGCTAGACTCAACCTCTCGTGCTCAGAGTGTCGTGTGGGCCCCTGCCTATGGGCCCACCCTGTCCCTGGTTTCACCCTGTAGCCTGACCATTGCAGACACAGCTTGCCCTGCCCCTCTGTGGTATAGCCTCTTCCCCCATGCCCATCTCCACTTGGAGACCTCCTGTGCATCTCCCAGGCACGGCTCAGTGTCCCCTCCATCTTTGTCTGTGGTGGCAGAGGGAGATAAGGGCCAGAGGGTGCAACTGAGGAGGGCATGGTGCCCAGCTGTGGCCCTCAGCAGTTCCGTGGCTTCATACGAGTCAGTGGCCTCTGAGTTCTGCATGGTGTGGCGGGTCGGAACCACGGCTGACCGCTCCCAAGAACTCCCCGTGTGTGTCTTGTTTGAGGCACTTGGCATCACCACCGCCTTACTTGTTACACCCATTCCATGGGTGGGGGACACAGGCACGGAGAGGACAGGAAGGAAAGGGCAGGGCTGGGCTGTGAACCCAGAGCCTGTGCTCTCACCCATGCTGCTCTCATGGGCCCTCAGGACTGAAAGGAGCCAAATGGCTGTGCCTTACACAGGAGGTGCTCAGCTGAGGGGGTGGCTTTGTGATTGTTTGCGGATCGTGAGATAGAGCCTGAGATGGGGGATTGGGTCGTGACCTGTGTGGAGTCCCACACTGAGTTGCAGTAGGTAGGGAGGGTGGTTTACAGGGGTGCTCTGTGCAGCCCCTCTGATTTTCCCCTGGGAGTCCCAGGTCCAGAGGAAGGAGGACAGTGGCCCAGGCCACACAGCTCCTGCACGGCTCACTGGGTGACTCTCACTCCCACAGGGCTGGCTGCTGGCAGAATGGACACCCTGGAGGAGGCGACTTGGGCCAATGGGAGCACAGCACTACCCCCACCCCTGGCACCAAACATCAGTGTGCCTCATCGCTGCCTGCTGCTGCTCTATGAAGACATTGGCACCTCCAGGTGAGGCAGTCACAACACTGGGCAGGCTTGCTGAGTGTCAGTGGCTTTTCCTGGAGTCGGGGAGTGGTGAGGGTGGGCCAGACTGTGTGCTGGAGAGAGGGTGCATATGTGGCCTCGCCAGTGAGCCAGCTCCTGTGCCTGTCTGCCAGGGTCCGGTACTGGGACCTCTTGCTGCTCATCCCCAATGTGCTCTTCCTCATCTTCCTGCTCTGGAAGCTTCCATCTGCTCGGGCCAAGATCCGCATCACCTCCAGCCCCATTTTTATCACCTTCTACATCCTGGTGAGTTCACTGCAGTTGACAGAAAAGCCAACGACACAACTGAAACAAAAAGGAATTAGCTGCTTCTATAATGAAAATGAGCTTCAGGTATGGCTGGATCCAGGCAGTTAAATTTTGCCGTTAAGATCTGTTTCTGCATCTCTGCTGTCTTTGGGACTTATCTCTGATGAGTTCCCCTCATATGGTGTCAAAGATGGCCAAGAACAGCTTTGAGCTAACATCCTGCCTCTACAACTCAGGCAGACAGTGCCTGTTTGCTGATAGTGCCAGTGTAGACCTGGGATTTCCTCTGACTGGCCCACCTAGGATCCCATCCTCATCCCTGAGCCAAGCACTGTGGCTAGGAAGGAAAGGGGCTCTGTGAAGCTGGGAGGGCAGCATCAGCTCAGCCGGACCATGTGGACTGAGGGAGGTGGTCCCTACAACAGAACTGGGGAGCTGATACTAGAGGGGAGGGGAATGGATGCTGGGTAGGGAAAATGCCCACTGCATCCTCCAACCTTTCGTCCCTTATCTGTCCATTCTGTGAAACCTCTTTGGAGAAGACATCTTACTTGCTGGGAGAGCCTGCATTCTCACCACTTGGTGGTCCTGGCACATGTTGCCTGGGGAGAGGTGTCAGGGCTGTGGTTGAGAAGGCAGCTCCAAACGTGGGCTGTCCCGTTATAGGCTCCAGGTGTAGGCTCCAGGTGTGGGCTGTCCGGTATAGGCTCCAGGTGTGGGCTGTCCAGGTATAGGCTCCAGGTGTGGGCTGTCCAGGTATAGGCTCCAGGTGTGGGCTGTCCAGTATAGGCTCCAGGTGTGGGCTGTCCAGGTATAGGCTCCAGGTGTGGGCTCCAGGTGTGGGCTGTCCAGGTATAGGCTCCAGGTATGGGCTCCAGGTGTGGGCTCCAGGTGTGGGCACTGAGTATAGGCTTCAAGTGTGGGTTCCAGGTGTGGGCAGTCTTGATGCAGGTTCCAGATATGGGCCGCAGGTCTGGGCTGTGCAGGTGTGGGCTGCAGAAGGCTTCAGGTGTGGACTACCCAGGTATGGGCTGTCCAGGTGCAGGCTTCAGGTATGAGCCGTGTAGGTAATGGGCTTCAGGTGGGGGTTATCCAGGTGCAGGCTGTCTGGTTGGGGGCTGTCAGGTGTAGGCTTCAGGTATGGGCTGTTCAGGAACAGGCTATCCAGGTGTGGACTTCAGGGCTGTCCAGGTGCAGCCTGTCCAGGTGTGGGCTGTCCAGGTGTGGGCTGTCCTGGTGTGGGCTTTCGGTGCGGGCTGTCCAGGTATGGGCTTCGGGTGTGGGCTGTCCAGCTCCCTTCCTTCAGGGCGCCCTTACCCTGCCTGCAGGGCCTGCCTGGCTAGAGTCCACCCTTAGATACCACTACATGAGAGCCGAGTGGCTCCCTGGTTGCCTCTTTGTGGTCTAGCCCAGAACTTCCCAGTTAGAGGAGTGGGCTGTGGGCAGGCAGAGAGACAGACAAGGGACTGGGGAAGCCTGGAGGCTGTAGTGGCCTGATGTCCCTTACTCCTGCAAGATGGTGATGGACAGGACTGGGAACTGAGGCCTGCTTTCTTCTCTGCTTCTCTCCCCATTTACTTATTTGTGTATTTATTCAACAGATATTAAACATCTACTGTATGCTAGGCAGATGTCCTTTTGTGGGATAAGGGGGAGTGCAGGCAGGAAGAAAGAGCCAGGGCTAAATGTCCAGGAACATAGAACAGGGCCCAGCCCATCAACTTTTGAGGACTTTGTCCTAAACAGTTCAGGAGGCAATGGTAAGAGTGGACTCAGGAAGTCCAGCTCTGAACCCCAGCCATGCTGCTGTGTGACCTGGAGCCAGTGGCTTGGTCTCTCTGTGCCCCAGTGCCCTTCTGCGTAATAGATGTTGATCTGCTTTAGCTATGGAGTTCGTATGAGCACCTATGAGGTCATCTGCATAGCTGCAGCCCAGTGGGAGCTTGGCATACAGTAGGCATTTGGCAGTTTGTTGCTTTTGCTGCCTGCCCTGCTGACACAATTTCTCATGGCATAAAAGACAGAGTATATATGGATCTGGGCATGTGTCAGAAAACCCAACTGAGACTCACAGAAGCCAGTTTCTGACTGAGAAACTGGGCAGTTCCTGGGCCTCAGGCACAGCAGGATTTTGGGGCACAGCAGTGGTGCTGGGGCACCATCTCCATCTCCCACTTAGCCTGAGATCTCCCCGATGGCCCTGCTCTCTTGCCATCTGCCCTTGTGGCAGCAGGGTGGCGTCCATGGTTCCAGGTTTGCATGCCCTTGGTCTGCCTTTCCCAGCAGTTGCACCTGACATCCTGGTTCTCTCTCATGGGGCTCCCGTGGGTCCCAAGCACTTCCCTGAACCAGCCCTCAGGCCAGGGGAATGACACACACCACTGGCCAGTGCTGCGTCCTAGGCCCATCCCTGAAGCCAGGAGCGGGGGACTCAGCCTCACCTGGAACCACTGAAGTGGGGGTGAGGAGGGAGAGGAAGGGGATGGATATACCAGGCCGATAAGTGCCACAGATGCTGAGCAGGCCCTTTTGCGAAACCTGCTGGGCCGGTGGCTTCCCTAGAGGTCTCCACACCTGTTGTCGGTGACCTTTCGCCTGGTCCCGCATGCCTCAGAATTAAAACCATGAATATGATAATAACAGCAAATGTATACTTGGCCCTTCCTGGGTGCCAGGCAGTCTTCTGCTGCATCTGTTAACCCATTTGACCCAACAATCAAATGCAGTAGGTTTTGTTTCTGCCCCCGTTTTATAGATGAGAAAGCTAAGGTACAGAGCCAGGAAGCAGCAGCCTGCTACTTGTGATGTGAACCTGGCCCATCTGGCTCCACCGTGCTCACCCCTACTCACCAGCCCAAGGCTGTTGTTCCTAGCCAGGAAACTGGGGCCCCAAGAGGGGAGGGCCAGGCTGGAGGTCACCTGCAGTTGAGGGTCTGCAAGTCTGTGAGCCTTGCTCCCTGGAGCCTGATCCCCACCTCCCTGTGTCCCACCCTGACTTGCCCCTTCCTCCTTTCCAACCTCAGGAACCAAAGGCTCCTATAGATATGGGGATGAGCTTACTGCCCCTGCCGATGCAGAGGCTCTTGTTCCCTGACTACCACGCCACTCCCTTGCCCACCAGGTGTTTGTGGTGGCACTGGTGGGCATTGCCCGGGCCGTGGTATCCATGACGGTGAGCACCTCGAACGCTGCAACTGTTGCTGATAAGGTGCGGCTGGGCCCTCTGAGGGAGGCCAGGGAGGCCTGGCCTGGGGTGGGCTGGGGATGCTGGCCTGGGCTGACGCTGTGCCCACTCTGCGTGCAGATCCTGTGGGAGATCACCCGCTTCTTCCTGCTGGCCATCGAGCTGAGTGTGATCATCCTGGGCCTGGCCTTTGGTGTGTGTACCGCTGGGCTCCGGGGCCCCGGCAACGCTCTCCCCTGCCCCTCCCTGGCTGTGGGCTGACTCTGGCGTGGTCACCTGGGCTGGCTCCTGCCTACTGACCAGCACGTTTCTTCCAGGCCACCTGGAGAGCAAGTCCAGCATCAAGCGGTTGCTGGCCATCACCACAGTGCTGTCTCTGGCCTACTCTGTCACCCAGGTAAGAGGGTGGGTTTGGGCAGGAGATGCCAGGGGTCAGGGCACCAGGCACCCACTGCTTCTGGGCTTGGGTGAGGTTTCCAGTCTTTGTCACCTTCAGAGTTCCCAAAACTTTGCACCTGAGAAATCACATGGGATGCTTGTTACCGAGGCACATTCTGGGGTCCCCTGGAGATTCGGATCCAGTAGGCCAGGGCACCAGGGCGGGAGGCTCAGGACTTGCCATTTTAATAAGGAGTTCAGGTAGGGACAGTGCAGGTCCGCAGACCTCCCTGAGAAGCATGCATCTAGAGGCCCCTTTCTTGGATTGGGGGGAGGTACTGCACCTCGTCCATCTCTGCCCCCTGCCCCATGTGACTCAGCCCAAGACTGGGCCGGCTCCGGATGCTATAATCAGGTGGGCAGTACGTGGCCTGGGAGCAGGCTGGGGCAGGTGACTTGAGGGTCAGGCCAAGAGGCTGGACTTGGTGTGGTAGAGAGCTTAGGGGGCTTTGCATCAGGGAAAGCCCCTGGGAGGGAGGAGCCTTGAGATCCTCTCCCTTCATCCCTTCCTGCTTGCCCCTGCAGGGCACCCTGGAGATCCTGTACCCTGATGCCCATCTCTCAGCTGAGGACTTTAATATCTATGGCCATGGGGGCCGCCAGTTCTGGCTGGTCAGCTCCTGCTTCTTCTTCCTGGTGAGGTTCAGGCTGGGGCAACTGGGGTGGCTGGGGCCTTAGGGCCAGGTAGGGGATTGGATGCCTGGGTTTCTGGCTGTGGGTCAGGGCTGGCGCCCCCAGCACTGTCTCAGCCCTGCCTGTCTCTGTAGGTCTACTCTCTGGTGGTCGTCCTTCCCAAGACCCCGCTGAAGGAGCGCATCTCCCTGCCTTGTGAGCAGCTGGCCAGCAGCTCTGGGACAGGCGGGGACGGGAGGGCATCTACTGGGCCACTGTGGCTGGGAGCTGGAGAGCCCTGGGTGAAAGGGAGGCCTAGGGGGGCTCCGAGGGACACACCAGGCTTGAGGGTGGTAGGTGCTGGAGGCAGAGTCTGACCTGGCCAGGGTGGGACCTCACGACCCACCCTGTCTGGCCCCCAGCTCGGAGGAGCTTCTACGTGTATGCGGGCATCCTGGCACTGCTCAACTTACTGCAGGGGCTGGGGAGTGTGCTGCTCTGCTTGGACATCATCGAGGGGCTCTGGTGCGTGGGGGCTGCAGGGTGTCTACCTCGTGGGGGCATGGGAAGTGGGCGGCAGGGTGTCCACCCACTGGGGGCATGGGGAGGTGTGGAGTCAGCATAGGGCTGGGAGGCCCTGCGCTGACCTGTCTTCTCCGCAGCTGTGTAGATGCCACAACCTTCCTGTACTTCAGCTTCTTTGCTCCGCTCATCTACGTGGCTTTCCTCCGGGGCTTCTTTGGGTGAGTCTGTGGCCGCCGGCGCCCCCGCGTGGCTGCTAGCGGAACTGCGCCTTCTTCCAGAATGGGTGTGAGGATTGAAACAGAGGGGCTGTGTATGCATTCAGTGTGCATGCGCATGCACATACTTGCACATGGGCACATGCCTACAGATACACATGCACATGCACACAGATATATGCACACTTACCCACATGTGCATGGACACGTGCACATGCACGCACAGATGCACAAGCATGCACACATGCACAAACATACACATACGGATACACACGGGCACATGCACACAAACATGCACGCCCACATGCATGCATACACACATGAACACACAGGCGCTCAATATATACATACATGTAGATATATGCACATATACATATATACATATATATATGCACATTGTATGTACAGTTCACACAGACATACTCTCACCATGAGAGATAGAGTGACTGCATGTTGTCCTACATTGCTGGTTTTTATTTAATAATATATGAACTCATTCATTCGCAAGCATTCATTGAACACCTACTGTGTGCCAGACACTGCTAGAGCCAGAAGATGCGAGGCCCACAGTGGATGCAAATCCCTGTCCTCATGGAGCTTGTACCCTGCTGGGGGAAGACTTAAGTGGGGAGCAGGTTTGGGGTGGGAAGTCAGTTGGATTCTCTGGGGGTGAGTACACTGCTATGCACATGTGCATCTGCAGAAGCATCTGTGAGATGGGATGCTGAAGATGTGGGATTGGGGGTCCCACTCCAGGCCTCTAATGTGGTCGGAATGTGGGTGCTTTGCCCCTCCTTTCTCACCTGCCAGGTCTTGTGGGGAGGGGCTCAGCCTCCCCCCGGGTGAAGCTGGCAGAGGGTCAGACTGGCCCACAGCCACAGCTCGGATCTGCAGACACAATTTCTCTCCTGAGCCTCGGGCTCCTTTTTGTAAATTGGGTGTAGTGTGTCCCCCTTGGAGAGTTACCCTGAGGGCCGAGGGACCAGATCAGGGTGGAGCAGGCAGTAACATGAGCAGCAGGGGTCAGAGGAGTGGGGCGGAGGCCACAGCCAGTGTTTCCTGAGTGCTTGGGCAGGCGCTGTTGAAGGCTCATGATTTATGTCGTTCTTCCTCCACACGGTGTCCACGCACCCATTTCACCATGAGGAAGCAGGCACAGAGGCCCCCTGCCTGAGCTCACACAGTCGGGGGAGGAGGGCTGGGTTCCAAAACAAGTCTAGATGGGCACCGGGGTCCAGCTGACAGGCCTACTTGGGGTGGGTGTCAGGCAACTGTTGGCCGATTCCTTCCTTATCTGGTGGCCCCATTGGCCTGGAGGGAAGACTGTTCCTGAGTCACTCAGTGAGGCTCCTGTGCCCCTGTCTCCCTCCTGTCAGCTCAGAGCCCAAGATCCTCTTCTCCTACAAATGCCAAGTGGATGAGACAGAGGAGCCGGATGTACACCTACCCCAGCCCTACGCTGTGGCCCGGCGGGAGGGCCTGGAGGCTCCAGGGGCTGCTGGGGCCTCAGCTGCCAGCTACTCAAGCACACAGTTTGACTCTGCGGGCGGGGTGGCCTACCTGGATGATATCGCTTCCATGCCCTGCCACACTGGCAGCATCAACAGCACGGACAGCGAGCGCTGGAAGGCCATCAATGCCTGAGAGCAGCTGCCAGGGCCTGCAGAGGACAGGCCAGAATGGAGGCCAGCAGGTCCAGAGTCCCCGGGGGAGGAGGACCAGGTCAAGGGACCTTCTGTGGGCGGTAGCCTTGTGTGGCCCTGTTCCCACCATGAGTCTGGAGGCCCCACCTCCCTGGGGCTCCCAATCCCCTTTGCCATCTCTGCTCTCACTGGGGACTCTCCTCCCTTCCCATCTGGTCTCATACTGCTCAGCGACATGGCCCAGGCTTTCCTTCCAGGGCCATGCTTGGCAAGGTTGGCTGAGGGCACCCTCCTTCTCTGCATCCTTGGCACGAGGGCAGGGCTGGCTCTCCCAATGCCTCCATCCCATCCCCATGGTGCTTTGGCCTCCTCAAAGCCCACTGTGGTAGATGGACTGAAGTGTGTATATTTTCTTGATCTATTTTTTAATAAAAATGAAAAGGAGCAGAAGGTGCTAATGTGGAGGTTTTGCAGGAATACTGGTGCTGGTTCCTTTCAGGAGCCTGAGGGCTGGGTGAGGGGCTGGGAGGCTCAGGGGGCCTCTGTTTGCTCAACTAAGGAACAATCCCCATTGCCCAAGCCCTGGACTGGCTGCTGGGGAGGTGGAGAGAAACAGGATCCCAGCTGCCCCTGCCCCTGGGCCCATCTGAGTCGTGGGGACAGACATTGGAGAGAGAGGAGAACTATGTTTTGTGAGCCAGCCCCTCTCCCTTCTGTGTCAGAGACACACACTGTTGTCTTGAGCAGCGGGTTCCCTCTGCTCAGCTCCAGTAAAACTCAGAATGGACTTACTATTGCCATCTGTAAAATCCGGAGAAGACGCATCCTGCAGGGCCTTTTGTAAGGACTGGAAAACACTAAGCGTGAGTGGCTGGCATACAGTCATGAACGATAAGGATAGCTCTTATTTTTAGCCTCGAGAATAGTGCTTGGCACTAGTAAACCCTCAGCAGACAGGATGCGGGGAATGATGTTTGTCATAAGGATGGGTGTGGTTGGCTAAAAATGGGAGTAAATCAGAACAAAGCACTGGGATCATAAGGCGTGAGTAGGGGAGAGGGGCCCACGTGTCCCTGCCACTGCCCTTGTACCTGAGTTCGGCTTTGAGCTTTTTGGCAGCCAGAGTGAAAGGGAGTTGCTGCCAGTTATGTAATCCCCAGTGTTGGAGAGCAGGGGCCCACCCAGGACACAGCCAACTGCATGCTTCAGAGCCTGAGGAGGTCGCCGCCCCGGCCATGGGGACCCTGAGGGTCAGGCTGTTGCTCGCCTCCACGATTGGCCTTTATTTAGGCGGGAACGGGGTGCCGAGAGCACCAGCTCCAACACAGCTCATGTCTGTGGCGCCAGTGTGTCAGGCTCCCTGGGATCCAGGACCAGGAGGGTTGCTAGTGGGCAGGGCTGACAGTATGGCCAGTGAGCTGGACTCCTGGGCTGCAGCGGGGACTGCCGGGTGCCCCTGAGTGGCATACTTTGTTGAGGCCTCTCAGCTCATGTAAAAGCCTGGTAATCAGGGAAGGCAAGCTCACGGCATTCTGAGTGAGCAGGGTAAGGGTTGGGGGCCAGCAGGGATTTGACCATCAAATCCACATGCAGTCCAAGATGGCAGTGTCAGCTGAGGTTTGCTGGGTGCAGTGAATGAGCAGAGAGGCATCAACAGAAGAAAAGAGACCATTTTTGTAATTTTTGTTGTTGTTATTGTTGAGATGGAGTCTTGCTCTGTCGCCCAGGCTGGAGTGCAGTGGCGCCATCTTGGCTCACTGCAAGCTCCTCCTCCTGGGTTCACGCCATTCTCCTGCCTCAGCCTCCCGAGTAGCTGGGACTACAGGCACCTGCCACCATGCCCAGCTAATTTTTTGTATTTTTTAGTAGAGATGGGGTTTCACAATGTTAGCCAGGATGGTCTTGATCTCCTGACCTCGTGATCCGCCCACCTTGGCCTCCCGAAGTGCTGGGATTATAGGCGTGAGCCACCGTGCCCGGCCATTTTTGTAATTTTTGTTTTTTAAAAATAGGTCATATATGTACATGGCAAGAAAAAAAAAAGGTTCATGCAGTACAGGAGGGTATTTGGTGAACGATAAATCTCCCTGTGTGGCACTGAATTCCTTCGTCACCCTCCTGAAGCACCCAGGGTCTCCATAACCTTCCAGAGCCATCCTGTGTTCACACCGATGGATGTGTGTATCATCCCTCTTTCTTAATGCTAATATTCTGTAGCTCCAGTGGATCTTGGAGATCATTCCATGTCAAGTGCAGGACTGCTTAACCCCTGCAGCTGCATACATGTGGATATATGGCAATTTATAAACCACTTCCCTCGGGGTGGACTTTTGTTTCTGAAAGATTTTCCAGCAACAAACAGGGCAACATCAACAATCCTTACAAATTTGCTTTTGGTAACTCATGCAAGTAGAATTGCTGGAGCATACAGTCTTAATCAGTTTTAATTACTCTTATGAGTCTTCTGCAGAGATTAATAGTTGTCCTCCAATATATGCTGTTTTTCTCCATTGAAAGAGAATCCCTGATTTTTAGCTGGATACACAGCTGTCCAGAATAAAGACTGCATTTTCTAACTTTCCTTGCAGGTGGGTTCTGGCCAATGGATGTAAGTATGCATGCAACTTCCCTAGGGATAGGAGGTGGCCTTTCTTTCGGGCTGAGTAGGATGTGCTTATAATGGCTGGAGTGACAGCAGCCATCTTGAACCATAGGGTAATCTGGGGAATGGAAGTTTTTCACTGAAGTGCAACAGGATAGAGCCTATGTCACAGACACTAGCTCATCTGTAATGACCCCAGACATCCTACCTTCAGATGACTTTTGGAACGTGCGAGAGATATGAGTGGCTATCTTGTTCAAACCACTTTTGATGTTTCTCTTACAGTTGAACCTAATCTGAACTAACACACCCATTCCAAGAAGCTGTGCCGGCCTTCATTCCCACCGGCACATCCTCACTGACGTGTGTTAGTCACATTTTCAGTCTTTCTGAAGAGCCCTGCTCGGACCACATCTCCTCTGTGGTGTCTGGGTGGGAACAGGCATTAGGCAGAGGAGTGGCAGGATGCCGGGTTCCTGGAGTTTTAACGTGGTGACAGAGTTCATTGTGTGTGGCCAAAGTCTAGTCTTACCTTCCCACTGCTGCTACACGTGGACCTTGGGCAGGTCACAGCTTCTCCTGGACGTTTCTTCACTGATGGTACAGGGTAGCAGGTGACTGGTTGCTACCAATACCCATTTTTCCTCCCTCAGTAACTGCACCCTGATGTTTGTGGGTCAGTGAAGCCCCCACCTTAGAGGTGTCACCATTGAGAATTTAGGGAAGGAGACCTTGGACACAGGGTCCTCAGTTGCTGCCAAGCTCAATGCCAGCCCAAGCATGGCCCTGAAGCAGCAGAGCTCTGAGACCTGCAGGTCCACCCACCCAGAGCACTGGAGCACGGTGATGTGACGGGTGAACGCATGGCCAGTGATATATGGGTTTGCCAGGGCTGCCATAACAAAGTACGACAGATGGGGGCCTTCAACAACGGGTTTATTTTCTTACAGTTCTGGAGGCTGGAATTCCAAGATCAAGGGGTCCACTGTTGGTTTCCTCTGAGGCCCCTCTCCTGGGTTTGCAGTCAGCCACCCGCTTGCTGCCTTTTCGAGTGGTCTTCCCTTTATGTGTGGGGTCCCTGCTGTCTCTCTGGGTCCGAATTTCCTCTCTTTATATGGACACCAGTCAGATTAGATTAGGACCCCCAATGGCCTCTTTTCACCTTAGTCACCTCTGTAAAGGCCAAATCTCCAAATGCAGTCCCCTGCAGAGGTGCTGGGGGCTGGGGCTTCAGTGCATGAGTGTTGGGGGGATGCACTTCAGCCATAACAAGTGGCGTTAGAGCCTCTGTCCCTCTGACCTCCTGATGCTGTGCAAGGTCCTGAGACCTTACCAGATCTGCAACCTGACTTTACCCGGGTCGCAACACCCCTCTCAGGAGGACCCAGGTCAGTGGAGGGGGACGGAGAGCAATTTTACCAAACTGTCCCCCTTAACAACATCAGGTGTGAAAGGTGTGAATGGGAGGAGCTGGCTTTCACGTGTCACATCGGAGAGGAAGGCAGGGTCATCTGGCACCGCACGTGTTTTTGGTCGATTATTTAGGTGGGATATGAAAGTAGTTCTAAACACTGTGTTCCGGCAGCATTCTAAACACTCGCCATGGGTTATACGGCCCCACTTTACAGACGGGGAAACCTGAAGGAGTGAGGTCACATGGCCAAATACACGGTAGGGTGGGTTTTGACTCCAGGCAATCTGACTGAGTCCAGGCCTCTCACCACTGCCCCGTACTGTCACATCTGATAGAAACACCCTCAGCACTGGAATGGCCCCGAGTCTTGTCTCTTGGGCCATTGCACCAAAATGAGGAGCCTGCACCCCCTCCAAAGCCAGTCTGAAGGATGCAGAGAAATGCCCAAAGGATTGCTGCGATGGGACTGAGAGCACCTGGGGCGGTTATAGCAGAGCGGGGTCTGGAGTGCACACCTCTGGAGCATAGAGCCAACTCGTTTCCACTCCTAGCTCTGCCACTTCCTCAAGTGAGCTGGCAGGCTTCCTGTGCTCTGTGCCTCAGTTTCCCTGCCTATAATGTGGGGCTGATTGTGCCTCCTTGGCTTCTATGAAGCCCCCACCCCATCCCGTGCAGGGCCTGGCCCAGTGCAGCATCTTCATCTGGGGAACGGTTCACGCTCTGTTTCTCAGCAGGACCTTCTCTGGGGGGTGCGGGGGCTGCTTGCGGGGAGTGGCCCGTGTAATTGGCTCTGGGATCAGGAGCATGCCCAACGTTTAATTTCTCATATTGTTTGGGGACAATGACTCAGCTGAATGCACTCCTCAAATCCAGATCCAATAACCTGCTGTGAAGAGTGTTTAAAGCCGGCTCCAGGAGGCTCCGGGACGAAAGATCAGTTCTGCTTGGCTGGGGCCGAATGGTATTCTGGGGAAGACAGGGCCTAATTCGAGGTGGAAAATGTGAGAGCCGCTCCAAGGAGCTGGCCCTCCCCATGGACTGGAGGTTGCCCGGGCTGGAGCTGGGCCATGGGCTTGCGGGGCACACCCCCTCACACGATTGACCTCCCCACTGTGGGCACCTGGGCTGCCTCTGGGACTGGCTCTGAAACCCTTGACTACAGACTGGAGTGGGTGACAAGCACCCTCCTCTAGTCACCGATGCAGCCCTTGTGACGGTGGCCTTCCAGAGGGTTCCTGCTCCTCCCCATTCCAAATGCTGACCCTCATCATCCTCATAAATGGAGGTGTCCTGTGGGTTTGCACAATGTTTAAAAAATTAGTTGTCAGATTTTAAATATTACAAGATTTCATATATATGTCCAAGTATTTGGCTTCTCAAAAAAAATTGGAAGATGTGACAGTCTCAGATTGGGACATTTCGCCCCCAGTTCTG